GATCTTTTAAAACCGTTTTTTAATAGCTTTTTTAAAAACGATTTTTAGGTATTGCCATTCAGAACGTTTAAAAAACGTTTTTTTTTCTTAGTTAAAAAATTGTTTTAAAAACGTTCATGTGCTTACTGTGATGAAACTTTAAGTCGCAATATAATGTTATAAATATTAGCATTTAGCTAATTCCTGATAGTGCGGGTAACAATATATATACTATATATATATACATATATATATATATATATACATATATATATATATATAATATATATATATATATATATATATATATATATATATATATATAATATATATATATATATATATATATATATATATATATATATATAGTTATATAATATATATATATATATATATATATATATATATATTTATATATATATATATATATATATATATATATATATATATATATATATATATATATATATATATATATATATATATATATATATATATATTATATATATATATATATATATATCCTATTCCATAAACCAAATAAAAACGAAAATACTCCTCTTAAACTACCTGATCTGAAAATAAATAATACTAATATAAAAAGAGAAAATTTTATAGACTTTCTAGGTGTGGTCTTGGATGAAAATTTGTCGTGGAAGCTCCATATAAACACTTTAGAGAGAAAGCTCTCAGGAAATATTTCATTAATGTATAAAGCAAAACCTTTCCTAAATATCATTTCCTTAAGAAATTTATACTTTTCATTAATACATAGTCATCTAAGCTATGGTAACATGGCCTGGGCAAGCACAAACTGTACTAAGCTTAAAAAACTGTACAGTAAACAAAAACATGCCTGTAGAATTGTCTTCGGAGTAAGTAAAAAAGCGTCTGGTGAACCTCTCTTATGCAAACTTGGAGCATTGAATATATACAAAATTAACATACATCTTGTTTTACAGTTTATGTACAAAATAAAAAATGGACTATCTCCGCCAATATTTCAACCCTATTTTAGCAAAATAAGTCATAAATACTCTACTAGATTCTCATATAACTACTTTGTCATCCCAAAATTTACATTAAAGTTAAATTCATACTCAATCCATCACCGCGGACCTTATTTGTGGAAATTTTTTCCCCAGATTGTTTCTATCAAAAGAAATACACTTTAACTGTTCAAATCTGAATAAAGCGTTTTTTATTATCTACGGACTTAAATTTCTTTTTCTTTTTTAATATAAAATAAACTAGCACAATTTATTTCTTTTATTTGTTTTAACTTTTACTTGTTCTAAATTTATTTTACTAAACGAATTTATATATAAAGAGTTATATCAATTGTAAAACGTAGTTTTTCACATTTTTACATATTTTATCACAAACAATTTATCACGATTTTATATATTTTGTTATAAAAAACGACCTGTAATAAAGTCACTATGGGGCTCGGAGATAAGACAAACTGATGTCTTCTTCTTGCTCCAGCCATTTGTTTTATTATTTATGTTATTTTATAAATTGTAACTTTCTACGGCAAAAAATTGAAAAAAATAAATAAATAAATAAATATATATATATATATATATATATAATATATATATATATATATATATATATATATATATATATATATATATATATATATATATATATATATATATATATATTTATAAACATTTATAATACATCTGACACAATTATAAAAGGATATGAACTACATCGAGCAGATAGAGTTAGCAGAGAAGGAGATGTAGCTATATACATTAGAAGTGATATAATTACAACAGAAAATAGAAATAAGCAGCTTAATTCTAAATCTTTTGAGAAAGTATGGTGCAAATTCAGATTTGATAGCAACTCATTGTTACTAGATAGTATATATACAGACCACGCCACATTAATGACATTGTTCTTACTCAAACAATTGAATCAATTACAGTGGCTACATAGGCTTAACTAATACAACATAACTATTTAGAATCTACTTTTGAATCTAATTATTGAAACTGTTTAGAATCTAATTTTTCTCACAAAAAAAAAATGTTATTTTTAGTTGCATATATTGACACCCTAGAATGGATGTAAGCGACTTCGATAACAAAATGTCGGTCCTTCTTTAAAAAATATCTACTGAAAAAAAATGTATTTCTACTTTGCCATTTGAACATGGATGTGATTCAGTCAAACTCTGACTTTGCAATTTCTGAATTTTTAAGCTTACTTATTTCTTATAATATTAGCCCATTTATTACCCTACCAACGAGATATACTGACCATTTTGCTACAATTATTGACAATTTCTTTTCAAATGTAAGCATTAACCAATTTATTTTAGAAAATTTAACACCTTTCGGAACACCAACCTCAATTTTTTATTTGTCTTAATTTCAACAAATTATTTATATCACGCAACTATAACTTATACCGCAGGAACTTTAAAAATTATAATAAAGAACTATTTAATTCTGAATTATTAAAAGTTCATTGGAATGATATTACCAATAAAAACGATGTTAAATCTAATTTTGAAGCCTTTGTTCCTCAAACAACATTGTTGTTAGATTGTCATGTGCCAGTCAAAAAAATTAGTTTCAAGAGCTACAAGTGTTAAATCTTGCTAAAGGAATAATAAAATCATTCCAAGTTAGAAATCTTGTTCAAGGGAAATTGTTAAGGATAAAGGATGCTACAAATATAATTAAACTAAAAACTATCTATTAACGATATTAATATTAGGGATGCACCGAACGTTCGGCAAAACCGAACGTTCGGCTGTTTTGCCGAACGTTCGGTTCGGCCGAACCTTGACAAATGTTTGGCCGAACATTTCCTAAAAATGCTAATTTGGAAATTAATATCATCGAATCATCATAACTCAGCCTAAATAGCTATAGTACCAATAGATATGGATTTTTATTGAAAACCCGATTCTTATCTACAACGCATAGTAGGTAAGAATATGTTTTTCAATAGAACACATGAGTGCGTTAGATTTACATCAAGTTTTTTGAATTTAGAATAAATTTAATTTGATAGCATGTATTACTTAAAACCGAATGTATTACGTAAAACTAGTTTACATCATTTAGAAAAAATAGTACTAGTATAAGTGTAAAATGAAAAATCCTTTCAATTGAGCAATATTTTATTTAATTTTATCCTTTTATATACAATAATAATAATAATAATAATTAAACTTAACTTAAGTTATAAAAATCATGCAAGAAGGAAATTTTTTATTTTGGAAAAATCGCAAAAATGTAATATAAAATAAACTTTATAAAGAAAGTTGCTCGTAATTTGGCTACTCAAATATTTAAACTGAGAAAATTATTTGAAAGGAATAAACTTAGGGAAAAATGTTATTGTAGAGATCAAAAACATAAAAATGCTCCAATTTATTATGTAGTTATTACTATATAACTATATAACATATACTATTATGTTATTATTATATAACTAAACATGCAATAGTATTAATACTAGACAAATCAACAGTTTTAAACTTTCACCTAACAAAATAATCGATTATTAAAAAAAATAAAACATTAAAAACATGAGTGAAAATCAATTTTCATTTGTTGTCCTTAAATAATAATGAATAAACATTAATTTTTCGCCACTTTCTGGTGATAGTCTGTTTCTATTGGGTTCGTAAATGATGCCACCTGTACTAAAAAATCTTTCACTTTCAACAGAAGATGGTGGTGCTGAAAGAAACTTTTAGGTAATTTTCTTTAAATTTTTAAAAGAGTTTTCATAATTTTTCCACCACAAGAGACGACTTTCTTTTTCCTTGACAAGAGGTAGCTTTAAATACTTTTCAATCTCCTTGTTTATCATTTGTATATTAGAATTAAATCTTTTTAACCTTTTGCTATTTTCAGTATTTATATAATTGGAATCACATTCATCTATAGTTATCAGTTTAGAAACTTTCTGAAAACATTCATTGAATTTTGGATAAGTTGGTTTTGCAATTACTTCATTTGTGTTATGTACTGAAGGTTCGTCAAAATCAGAATCAGAGGATTCAAGTTCTAAATTATTTTGTTGCATTTCTTGCATCTGTTCATTTATCCAATTTTTTATTTTATCCTTATCTTCTTTTTGATATGTCAATTTATATCTAGGGTCACAAAAAGTGGCAAGACATAAATATTTATCATGTAAATGTGAACCCAATTTTTTGTCTACTGACCCACTTAAATGTTCAACTAAAGTATTTATTGTTAAAAAGCCTCACATACTAATGCTTGATTGAAAAATTCTTTCAGAGCCATAATTGAAGGAATAACATCTGACAAATATGATTCACGTTTACTGAAATAAATGGTTAAAGTTTTAATTGGTTCTAAAATATGCAACACTTTATCTAATAAGTCCCATTGAAATGAATTTAGTGTTGATTGGGTAGGATAATCTGCTGTATAAGTTGCCAAAGGAACTTTTTGATCAAGCATCCTTTCAATCATATCATAAGAGCTGTTCCATCTTGTATTAATATCTTCGATTAACCTGTGCTTATTTGTACTAAGTTGTTCCTGAATTGCTTCTAATTTTGCTGCTACTGTTGGGGAATGGTGAAAATGAGTTGCCAGACGTCTGCAACAAGCTATATATCCTTAACAGATTTTTGAGACAGAATTGAGTCATGTATACATAACTGTATTGTATGTATAAAACATGGTATTGACTTAAAACCACTGTCTCTTACATCAGCTACCATATTGGCCACATTATCTCTTAAAACAATATGAATTTTTGAGTGTGGAATTTCAAAACTTACTAAACCTTTATGTAAATACTCACTTATATTTTTTCCTGTGTGACTTTCTGGAAAATGCATAACTCTGAGTACTGCTCTGTGCTAGGAAAATTCATTACTGAGCCAGTGTGCTGTCGTGCTTATGAAGGCAACATTTGAACTATGTGCTGTCCAAATGTCAGTTGTAAGAGAGATATGAATGGCAGCAGATATATTACTCTTGATAGAACTAAATAGTTTATTATATATTTGTGGAATAATATTTTCACTAAAATATCTCCTACTAGGTATTTAATAATTAGGACACAGCTCTTCAATTAATTTTCTAAAACCAAGATCTTCTACAATCGAATATGGTTGAATGTCCAACGCCATCATTTCTCCAATGTGATTGTAAATTTTGATAGCTCTTTGATCATTTACACCCCACAGCTTTTTTTTATTAAGACTCTGCAGTAATGTTAATAGTTTTTTTAATTCAGAATCACTTGAGGCTGTAGATGTTTCAATTTTTTTTTTGTCAGACTCTTTTTCAGCTATTTTATATTCTGCAAAGTGCTTGTTTTTTAAATGACGTCTAATTGCACTTGTGGTGAATGTTTTAGGACAATTCACACCTCTAGAAAGTAATGCTTTGCATAGTAGGCAAATACAAAAATGATTATCTTTCTTTGAAACTTTAAAATATTTCAAAACAGTACTTTTAAATTTTATTTTTGAAGACATTTTTGTATGCTTCTAATAAATAAATAAAGTTTAAGAAAAAAATATAATCTTAAAACATGCCAGATACTAGGTTTTAATACCTTATACCTTAATACTTTTATTTTTATTAGGTAACATTAAATTTGTAGAATAGAGTACAAATTTAGCTTAAGTGTTATAACATATAAGCTAAGCTTTTAGTATAGTCTAAAATATAAAAGTTAGCTAAATAGCTTAACTTTAAGCCTTAACATTAACAATTAATAACTATTAAAATAAATATTTAACGTAAAATCTTTTTTTAAGAAGATTTATTTATAAATTACAATATAATTTTATTATATTATAACTGTTAGTTATTTATATTCATCATTAATAAGTTATACTCAGTATTAATAAGTCATACTCATAAATTTAATTTTTCATTTTTCAAATAAAAACATTTTAACATTTTTACTTCTTTACACTACATTGTAGTGTAGTGACTACAAAGAATCATCTAATAATAAATTTACTTTTGATAATTATTTAAAGTTTCTTCACATATTTTTAAAATAAATCTAATGTTTTAAAAAACACATTAAATTTTTAAAAATATAGTAAATGTTCAAGTTCAAAATGTTTTTGACGAAAACCAGTGTTTGTATTTAAAAAAAGCAAAAGTTCGGTATTCGGTTCGGTGTTCGGCCGAACTTTCATGGCCGAACGTTCGGATTCGGTGTTCGGCCAAAAACCGGCTTCGGTGCATCCCTAATAAATATATCATAATTAATCTAATAACACTAAGTAAAAAAATGCATTTAAAAAAGTTCTTTTCAGAAAATGGAAAGGCATAAAAAGTCTAATAAATGTCGAAAATGTCAAAAATATCTTAATTATATTAAATATCCAAATCTTCATAGTTTACTGATATCTCCAATTAACCATTTTGAAATCTCATAACTAATATTGAAATTAAAACCTAGAAAATGTCCTAGCAGCATTCCCGCAAACATTATTATTGATTTTAATTCTGGCTTTTCTCATATTCTCCCTAAGCATTTCTATATCTCCTTCTTAAATGCAATTTTCTTGACATTTTGAAACTTTCTTGTTTCGTTTCAGTATATAAAAAGGACAGAAAACTTTCAAGTTCTAACTACAGACCAATTTGAATTCTATCTAACAATAGAAAGCTTCTTGAAAAACTTATTCTTGATTATACTCATTTTTAGTTCATTTTAGTGCTTAAATGATTTTCGGTTTGGATTTCAATCAAAGTACTCTACTTTGATTGAACTCTACTTTGATAGTACTCTACTTTCGCCATTACGTTTATAAAACTTCATTTAAGAATCTGTATTTTTGAATAAATATTTTGTTTCTGTTGGACCAAATTAATCCCAAAAAATTCCTCAAGCAATTAATCCAATTAGTAATCTATTTATCTCTAATACATGATAATTCAATTCGTTTGAACTAACTTTTGAAGAGTTTGAATGCGCTTTTAAAATGCTAAAACCAAACAAATCAGCACGTGTAGATGATATCAATGTAAATATTGTTATTAAATCATATGAAATCATAAAAGATGTACTTTTTAAGATTTTTTTTTTGTTCTATTAAACGAGGAATTTTTACTAACCAACTAAAAACAGCAAAGGTGATCCCGATATTTAGGGAGGTGATTTAACTAATGTTTGCAACTATCGTCCCATTTCTATTCTATCGGCTTTTTCGAAAGTCTTGGAGAGAACTTTATACAACAGAATTTATAATCATTTATCTGTAAACAATTTAGTATATAGCAATCAATATGGATTCAAAAAAATAGCTCGACAGAACACGCAGTTCTCCAGTTTATGAGAAGTAATAATAACTCTTTTGAAAACTCCCAATATACAGTTTGGGTTTTTATCGACTTAGCTAAAGCTTTTGATACAATAGACCACAATATTCTTTTAAATAAACTAAAGATTTACGGTATAAACGAAAGTGTTTTAAATTGGTTAAAAAGCTATTTAAATTATCAAAAGCAATTTGTATACGTTGATGTAGTTTCACCAGTAAACTTGCTTGATATAACCTGTGGAGTTCAGGGATCAATATTAGGGCCTCTTCTTTTTTTTATTTACATCAACGATCTCCATAAAGCCTCAAAGTTAATGACGATTATGTTTGCAGATGACACGAACTTATTTTTATCTCATAATGATATTATAATATTATTTCAGAATATCAATAATGAACTAGTAAGAGTTTATGATTGGTTTAAGACAAATAAACTGTCTCTTAATATTGATAAAACGAAATGGATTTTTTTCCATCCAAATCACACAAAAAATCTTATACGAAATGAGATGCCACTGCTTTTTTTTGATAATATTCTTCTAAAAAAGCAACAGTTACAAACTTTCTTGGTATTTATATTGATGAAAATTTGTCATGGAAAATTCACATAAAAAATTTGAGTAGTAAAATATCAAAATGCATAGGAATTTTGTACAAAGCAAGGAATTTTTTAAATAAACATACATAGCTTAAACTATATTATTCGCTCATTTATTGTCACATAAACTATACGAACATTGCGTGGGGTAGTACTAATAAAAGTAAACTGGAACCTCTTTATTGTCAACAGAAACATGTTGCACGTCTTATTAATTTTAAGGATCGATTTACTCCTGTCAAGCCTCTATTAATTGAAATGAAAGTTTTAAATATATATGAGCTTAATATTTTTAACGTTATATGCTTTATGTTTAAATGTAAAAACAATATTTCTCCTGTACCTTTTCATAATTTGTATAACAAAAAAGAAAAAACTAAGTACATTTTACGAAATGATAATGACATTCGTCAATCAGTTTATCAAACTAATTTTGGAAAATACTGTATTTCATTTCGAGGAGCATTACTTTGGAATAAAATAGTTTTAAAGAATTTGGACTTTTCTCAAGAAGTTAGCTATGACTCCTTCAAATAAAAACTTAAAAATGTCGTTTTTTTATTAGATTATATATCTATATTCTTATATTTTTTTGTTTCTTTTTTAACTTTATATTTAACACTGCATTAATAAAATTTATAAATTAACAATTTGTAAATAGTTGTTTAACACTTTTGTTAAAGGTACCTTAAAACTGTATAACAAAACCTTTAACAAAAAGTTCAACACTTTTGTTTAAGGTATCTCAAACTGTATAACGCATCTATGTATTTATAACAGAACCCTTTTTCTTTTTCTTTTTTTCTTTAAATTTGTTGCTGTTTTTAATTCTTAATTCTCATTTATTTGTTATCTTCATGTATGTTAAGTATATATTCCTATTGAAAGTTTATTTATTTTGAGAATATTTTATTAATACGAAATATTAAAACGTAAATTTTTTAGCGGTTCTTGACGACAAGACCTTATGATCTTCTACGTGTTCCCGCGTTCTTTTATTTCTTAATAACGATTATGTATATATATATACATTATTATCGAATATTTATTAAATCACAAAGTTGTAAAATTAAAGAACAAAATATATATATATATATGTATATATATATATATATTAATATATATATATATATATATATATATATATATATATATATATATATATATATATATATATATATATATATATATATATTTATATATATATATATATATATATATATATATATATATATATATATATATATATATAAATATATATATATATATATATATATATATATATACATATATATATATATATATATATATATATATATATATATATATATATATATATATATATACATATATATATATATATATATATATATATATAATATATATATATTTATATAGTATTTATATATCATTGGGTGTATCTTACTTAACATTTTTTTAAAGTCAAAATTTCATAAGGAATTCTTTTATGGTTTTGAATTTGAAACCGCAAAAATGAGCGAAGGTGTTAAATATTATAATTGGCAAAATGGCTTTTTTATGCATTAGGCAAAAAAAATTTCGTCTAATCTAAGGCAATCTGGAAAATAAGAAACTTAGCCCAATATAGTTAGAATTTGGCCGGTTGGTTTTTATGCCTAAGGCTGCCTGATCTGAGGCGATCTGATCAGGAAATTAAGAAAATTAGGAACATTTGTCTGAAACCGGGCCAATTAGATTAAGTTTAGGCATAAAAATTCTAGAAATTAAAAAATTTAAACAATTTGCTTGAAATTTCGCCAATTGGGATATAGTTTACGCATAAAAAGTTTGAAAAATAAGACAACTTGGATGATTATGTTAGGATTTTTACATTTAGCATTTCTTTTTTCAAGTGTCTAATTTAAGATGTCTAAGACTTTTGATAATTTACGAATTGCATTAGAGAGAAGCAATAAAGTTACATTCG